TTCTACGTGTAAAAATAAGTCGAACGATAATAGTTATTTCGTTCGAGAGACTTCCATAAAATTTTTTTAATAAGACATTTAAGCACCAACGTTTTACCCCCCTGTAGCGTATTATTTGTTTTTTAATTTTTTTCGTTTACTAAAAATTATTGATAAAATTTTGCATAAAAGAAACTACCTGAGGGAGAGGGGGAACACCTTGTATCTATATTATATCGATTAAATAATATTCCACGTCGGCAAATTTTATCGACGATAAAAACGATCGTCTCGTCCATCAGAAAAAGTTCGTCCTTATTATCCTTCGGATAGGATCAGGAATAGCTATTTCGCGAGATACTCCCTGAATTTTTGTCCCTGAAATTTCTTATAAATACGTTCAGGGTGATTTAACCTTCCAAAGGGGGAAAGACCACCCAAGTTTCAAAGAATCTATTCCATCTATTTCTATCTTATTCTTTTTCCTGTTCTTTCGAACCCTCGGATCGAAGAAGTCTCGCGGAACAGAGTTAGCTTCGTCTTTTACGTAGCACTTTGCAGTATTCGCGAAGAAAATTCAGTTTTCGCAGGTTGATTCAGAGGACTCCTCAAGTACCTACGAGACGCGATCACTTCTTTTTTCACTTTCACCCCTTCACCCTTTTTTCCTTCCCCTATTTTCCCTTCCGTCTTTATCTCGACTTTTTCTTTTTTATTTTTATCTCTCTTTTACCATCATCGCTATCGCGTGATCTATCATGGGATAGATCGTAAGAATAAGAAGGAAAAAAAAATGAGAAAAAAGGAGAGAGAAAGAGAGAGAGAGAGAGAGAGAGAGAGAATGAGTATTGCAACGTCATCGAGAAAGAAACGTTCAGACAAGCTTATTACTAGCTCTATCGAGAATACGCTTACTTTGTATCTGAAAAGTCGATCAGGAAATTGAGAAGCTCTGCTCGAAGGTAAAACGTGAACTCTTGCTTCTCTATTCTCTGAAGTCTAAATATCTATGTATATGTATATATATATATATGTGTACATGACTTGTCTCTCATGAATACGTAAAATGTATTTTTATATTTTTCAAATAAGTATCTGCATTATATATATTTACGTACATAAATCTTATTGTTAGCACATCACGTATATTCGCATAACTATCATCTTAACGTCGTTAAAAACATATTTCGTGTTGGTACATATTTCACAAAATGAAGCTTTGATGATATATTGAATAATGCATAATGCACGCGAATCCTTGTTCTCTCTCTCTCTCTCTCTCTCTCTCTCTCTCTCTTCCTTTTTTCTTTTTTTTTTCTTTTTTTACGACTAAAAGTGCCATCGTCCGTTCTAATATCATTTTCATATCTATAGTAATCTCGTTACAATACTTCGAGCCCAAGTACACGTTTATTTCCTACGTTTTCATTTTACGTTTGCTTTCGTTATTTCGATTAATCATTGCCTATTTACATTGCCATCGAGATATAACGTTTGAAATCGTGATTGTACACAATTTTCGAAAATTTTCTTTCTTAAATAGATAAAAGATTTCAAGAGAAAAACGTTTGATAAGTGTCACACCGTAAAAGCGGTGTGATAAATGCATAGAGGAAAAATCGAATGGGGAATGGCTTTGAAATAAAACTTCCAATAAAAGTGAATAAACTCGAAGGAACGATATATAAAATAGAGTATCGTGAAAAATAAATGAAAAAATTAAACCGAGAAGGAGACAACAAAAAAAGGGAGAAAACAAATTCACCGACCACCGAGTCGGTGAAAAAACTGGCGTAAGTTTTTATATATTTATTTTACTTTTTCTTTTTTTTTCTTTTTAACCGTGGAAGGAAGAAGCAAAAGATAATTATAGAAGGATAAGGAGAAAGAAGAGAAGGAACAGGAAGTGTTACGGAGAAGGCGAGCATCGTAGGATGATTCTCTGTATAGGAAATGTCGAGCCAAAAGCATCACAGACGAAGAGAGATGCAACCGTTGAAAGAAACTCTTCGTGCATTTCGATTCGGCGCAAAATAAGAACGGCAAGTCTCCTCAAAGAAACTCACCAAGATCCGTATTACCTCTTTTTCTACTTCTACTTCTTCTTCTTCTTCTTCTTCTTCTTTTACTTCTTCCTTGCATTTCTTCGTATGCATTGCGAACGAACGCTTGGTTTGACTTTTCACGAATATAATTCAATTTGCCGAAAAGAATTATCTAGTTACCGTGAAATATTTTTCTTCTTTTTATTTTTCCATAAGTATCCATATACAGGTGATAAAAAATTTGATCAAAATTTCAATTAAACGTTCACCCCCTTTCCTTCCTCCCGTAAAGAACGAAACTCTTCTTCGAGATTGATATTCAAGATACTTTTCTATTTAACGGATAGTATCGAGTGAGCAATAAAATAGAAAACAAAAAAGAAAAAAAAGAAAAAAAGAAGACAAGTCGAAGCAAGGAAGGCTATGATCCTAAACGATACTTTGCTCTTTTATATCACGTGAAAATAAAGAGACCGCAAGTGAACTTTCTGATGAGAAAAAGAGGGAGAGAGAGAGAGGAATAGGAGTAGGAGTAGGAGTAGAAGGAGGAAGAGTAGGGAAAGAAAAAGAGAGAAAGAGAGAGAGGAAGAGAGCGATCGTAAAGTGCCGAACGTCACTTAAAGGGTCTTCGAGGTTCTATTACTTTGAGAGGAGCACTTTACGCTATTACCAATACACGAAATAGGCGTGGATGGGCGTAGACCATGGTCTGACCTTAGTTCGGCTTCTCGAGGTTCACGATTCAACGTGAACGAGCCTTTATTTCGTTTTCCCCGTTCTTCATACCTTTCTTCTTATACGAAAGAAGAGAAGAAAGAAGAAGAAGAAAGAAGAAGGAGCACCACGAGCATCAACATTCTCTATTTCTCTCTTTCTCTCATTTTTCCTACCCTCCCACCGTTAGCTCTCTTTCTTTAGAGTTCTATTTTTCTTCCTTCTCCCTTCCAAGTCCCCCACCCCACCCCACCCCACACCCCTCTTCTTTCCTTCTTCTTTCCTCTCCCCCTTTCTAGTTCGCTCTCGTTGTTACAAAGTGCTGTACAATCAGCTATGTCATTAGGAAGACCAAATATCGCTTTATCGGGTTGCGAAGTTCGTCCTAAAAGCATTTTTAATGGAAGACATCCTTTCAGGGGGCCGACGAGACTTTTTACTTTTTTTTCTATGTTTTTTTTTGCTCTTTTTCTTTGTCTTTTTTACTCCTGTTTCCTTCCCCATGTACGCCAGTCGTACGCTTTCGCTAGGCCGGCCGGTGGGTGGGTGGGAGGGAGTGAGGCCACCCCTATCGATTTTACAATTTTATCTTAATCAACAGTTATATCGTAGTCGTAATCATAGTCAAAGTCGTAATCGTAGTCCGTCCTCGTTGATCGGAAAAGAAATAAGAGATGATGGAAAAACGAGTATCGTTTTGAAAGTTCGATAAACGGCATCGATATGATGTCCCGTCAGGATAATGGAACGACGCGTCAACTTCCCATCATTGCAACTCTTATTCCTATTTCCTGGAAAACATTTTCGAGGAGACGAGCATGAAACACGCGTTAGTAGATACGGGCTATTAAAGAGCTACAAAACGAAGATCAATTATCGTTAGAAAACTAATACGTTCTCTCTCTCTCTCTCTCTTTCTTTCAGTTTCCGATATGAAAAGTGGAAACGGGTTAAACGAAAATGAACCTATCAGTAGGTACTGTCGTTGATAACGAGTTACGCTGATAAGGCATCATAAAGTTTTCTTCCGTTGTGATTAGCAGTTGTACGAATCGCACGAACACGATCAATCCTAATGCACCAAAATGGAAAAGTTTTCCCCTTGACGTACGATTTAACGAGCATATCATAATCCTTTATTAAAAACCGTCCGTCATTAAACCGTAATATTACATGTGAAATTTTATGACCTAAAATATACCGTCCTTTAATTACATTATGAACCCTCACATCCCTTTTTCCCATCTTTCTTTTTCTCTTCTCATAATGTGTAAGCTTTCCTTTAAGAGTACCTACAAGCTTAACGTTTTCTAACTTTTCCATTTCTCTTCTTCTTCTTCTTCTTCTTCTTCTTCTTTCCATTTTTATTCTTCTTTTTTTTCTCTTGCAATTCCAACACACGATCTACGAGTTAAACTATTTTATCATGTATATAAAATTACCAGCAATAAACAATGTCCACCTTGGTGAAACCTATAACAAACTCCACTAAAAATAATCAAACCTCTCTGCCAAACCGTACAATTATCAGTGTACAAATTCCTCACAAACAACGTCGAGAGTAGAAAGTCTGTTGGCAATTAAAAATTTATAATTACGCGAGAATAGTATAATTAATACACGATTCCCATAACCGTTCTAATTACCGACTGGCAAACGCAGTAAGCGAAAGCTTTGCAAAATTCAACGTAATAATTATGATTGGATTATCATCGAAAGAAAAAAAATATATTTATATTATATATATGCAAAATTTCTACGATGGGTGCATACTTTCGTAAATTTTCGAGAACTAATATCGAATCTTTCGATTGTATAGGATTATCATCGATTAGAAAAGTAAATGGATCTTTTTTTCTTTAATGAGTTTCAAATTCGCTAATTACCAAACGATCTTTTCGTAAGGTCAGAATTTTTCTTTCTTATAATTACCGAGGAAACAGGACTGGACTCAGATGGAGAAAAAATGAGAATCGTCCTTATAAAAGGATTTTTTTGAAATTTGAGATAATATGAAATTCATTAGAACAGAGAGGTTTGGTAAATAAAAAGAAAGTTGCTTTCCATCAAGTTAGGTATTAAAAAAAAAAAAGAAAAGATATTTCATCGACTTTTACGAAAGTTGACTGAGAGATAACGAGGATATATTTGTCGTTGAAAAAAAAAAGAAATGAAATTATAAAATTTACTTCTTTTCGATCTCGCGCTGTTAGATTAAAATTCAATTAAAAACTCACAATGTATTTTTTTTTTCTCTTTCAGAGCTTACCGCAAACTCCAGCCGGTGGTGTCGGTGGAAAAGGTGGAGGAGGTAGTGGCGTTCCTGGTTCTGGCATGGTCAATGGTGCTGGTGCTGATCATCAGGATATTCGCGATGGTACAGCTATAAATACCGAACACGTAAGCACCTTGATGATTATTATACTTTCAAACGCAGACTTAATAATCATTATTATTATAAATTCGGTTATTTTTTTTTTTTCGTTGTAAGGTACACTTATTTAACAATTAATTATTACATTCTATTTTTAATTGAAATAAGAATATAGAGAGAGACGGATTATCTTATAGATGAATTTAAATTATAAAATATCTCATCGTTGATGATCCCTTTTTTAATTTTCATCTTCAACGTATTATAAAATATCGCGCGTATTACGCGTACCGCGTACTATATCATCGTGTAATATTCTAAAAGTTAAAGTTAAACCGAAAAATTCATCTAACGTTTCTCACTAGAAGACTCAATTCGACTCAACTCGACTCGACTCAACTCGACTCAATTCTACTCGAACAAAGTGGGTACCCTTTTTATTTTTCAACGTTCTTTCTCGTTCTCTCCGTGTGAAATACACAATAGTTACGATAGAAATGTTCCTTAGTAGAAGAGACGACGCTGAAATACCGTCGGAATCGTTCGTTCGTTCTTTGGCGAGAAAAAAAAAATCAAATCGACTTTTTTCTTTTCCATCTCGTATATAATTTCGCGGTTTTTACGTTTAAAACTTCGTTTCAACGAGAAACTTTCGACAAAACTTTGCCAATGATCAAACTAAAAGTCATTCATTCTGGTATTGACAATGTTCCGTTCGCGTTTTTTTAACTTTATTTTCCGAATAAAAGGATTTATTACGAGGCAACAGGATGTAACGATGAAACGAAGATATGTTGAATAAAACAACAACAACAACATTTTTCCTGGCAACGAATAGTCGTGATCGTTCGCAAAACTACTACGATCATTTTCTCGTAATAGGATAACACATCGAATAATATTCTCATACTATCAAAATTCGACTAGATATTTTCTAATTAAAATAATAATAGTAATAACGATGAAAATAATTTACGAAAAATAGTCAGAGAAATTGTCATCGTAAAAGTAGTAAATAAAAAAGTTAAGAAAACTTAGATAGATAGATAGGTAATAGACGAGAAAAAAAAAAGAAACAACCAAAGGGGAGGGAAAAATAAAAACGTAGTATCTAACGACACAATAAGAAAAAAAAAAGGAAAGAAAGAGAAAGAAGAAGAAGTAGAATAAGAAGAAAAAGAGATAGGAAATCAGTCGGAGGTAGTTAAAATCCAGGGATTAAACGATTACTTTCGAAGTTAAGCATTGTTCTCGTTGGTCCATCAATCCAAATCGAATCGATCTTTTTCCCGACGGCCGATTTTTGCGCGTAGATCCTTTCGTACGGAATTAAAACCTTTATCCGCGTTTTCTCTTCCTGCTTCGCTTGATCTCCAAAGATGGAAAGAGAAAAAGACTAACGGACAAGAGAGAGGTCGACGCATTCGAAAGTTGGTAGGGATAGTGCAGTGTGGACAATTGAAAGAGGGTAGAATGGGAGAAAGGGGAATTGTGGAAGGGGTTGAACTGAAATAGGGTGGTGGAATGGAGGAAAGAGTAGAAGAAGGGATGGAAGTGAGATAGAGTGGGATAGTTCCAGTCGGTGAAACTGCACCGATCATTCGTTCCGAAACGTCCACGTTCGCACCCGGTCTGATAAGCGTCACCAATTTTTTTTCATCTCCTATCTTTATCTTTCATACACCAATGCCACTCTTTCCCTGTAACCCTTTCTTTCTCTCTCTCTATCTATCTATCTATCTATCATCTATCTATCCATCCATCCATCCATCCATCCATCCATCCATCCATCCATCCATCCATACGCCCGTTCGTCTATATTTTCGCACTCTCTCGCAATTTTTTTCACGCGTTCGTCGATTTACATGCGCCAGCAAAATCAGAGCTGCTTTCGTCGTAGACAGGAGTCCACCCTCCTCCCCCTCACCACCAACACCTCCTATTCTCAACGATCGAGAAGGACGTTTGATGAAAGAACGATTATTTTTTAATGCTCGTTATGTTTCAACATATTCCGTCGATCTTCCGCGTATCGAACTGAATCGTCCTCGATTAAATGCATGCACGTTGCATCACGGATAGGAGTAGGAGAGTTAGGTAGGTACATAGTTTCGAATATGAATGGATCGATAAATTCGTTCCTCTTAGAATTCGATGAATGTTGGGAAGATTTAACAAACGACGTATTTGATTACGTTACGTTTCTGTTCAAATAGAAACCGAACACACTTCGAAATTCGAATTTGTTTCATTGCGTATCCGGAGATTATGCGTTGGCCGATGTTGTATCAGATTAACAAGATTTGTCCGGAAGGGGTAGCAGTTGCCATTTGTATAATCGGCAAGCGAAACTAACGGAAGATCGTTTTCCCGTCGGGCAGTAATAGAGGTAGTACTAGTATAGGTACTATGAACAAGTTGAAATAGTTTTGAAAGGCCAAAGTCTGAGTATGTATCGATCGCAGAGCGTGCGGATTCCCGCATAACTCGCATTTCCTGCATTTCCTCGACTCGGCTTATCTTACCACGACAGTTAGCCGAAGATCAAGCGGAAAGTGTAACCACCACTCACTATCGACCCACATACATTATTGTTAGAAATTCGGCTGGGCGTTCTCCCCGATATTCCGAATACTGTTTCGCCGCTTCTCGAACACGGAATGTCGCTATTGCGGACGGCCGCGTTTCTACGCGTAGAAACTACGTAGAGTACGCACTGTACATGTACTACACCTTAGTAAGTGAGCATAACGTCGAATATTCTAGCACGATCATACTCAATAACGATCATGATATATTAAAGATGAAAAATCAATAACGTTAAATGGACTCACGCTTTCAAACTAAATTGATCAAATCATCCTATTTTATCGGATTAAACATTGGCGTCCATAAAACTAAGATAACTGTCGTTCTTTATTAACGTCATCAATCTACCCATATACCCAAGATTATTTCTATCATTTTACGATATAAGGGAGAATCGTTGACATTTTATTTTATTTTATTTTATTTTATTTATTACTTTATCGATTTGTGACCGATCACTTCGATTTCTCTACGCTTCATTTCGTCGGCAGCACAAATGGTATGTTCTTGTTATCTGTCCACTCTGTTGAAACTTCTCCACTCTAGTTCTTTCTATACGAGTAATAGACATTTCTTTTTTTTTTTATCAAAAATTGATCTTCGACATAGTCGACGGATAACTAAACATTGATTTTTCCGAATACGTGTTTAAACGTAAAGTTTCCGTTACGTGCGCTAGTAGCAACGTGCACACATACACGTTCGCGAGCACGTACAAACTTATACATACACGAAAACACATTTCAGTTTCATCTTATGAGAAAAAAAACTCGTTGGCACAAACTCGGTCGTTGATTTCGGTAGGGAAAAACTAATTTCCTAATTGCTATCCAAATTTTTCTTTTACCCTCGAAATAACTCCGGGAGTTTACTTTTCTCCCTCTTATTTCATCCCTTTTCTCTCTTTATCTTTTCTTTTATTTTTTCCTCGGTAGCACTCTTTCTTCGTCTTTGTTTTATCGCTTTGTGTGCTCGCGAACGTACCACTCTTCTTTAGCTCATCCATACTCTTTTCGTAATCACAATTTCTTTACTTTTCTTTTCTTCCTGCGACGAGGCACCGTGATGTACCATCCTTAGTTTACTCAATTAGACTTTCATAAATGTTAAGTATTTTGATTGAAATATCACGGTGTGATGATTAAAAAAGAATATTTTTCTTAACAAAAATTATATAACAAAATACATACACATACACACACACGAACACGGACACATACATTTCACCAGTAAATGCGTATAAAGTTTCAACGAAAATTCTGGAAATATTAAATTTTATTAAAATGATTAACTTTGTTATGAGCTTTTTCTTTCACGTTTACGCGTATACATGTTTTATTTATGTTGGTGTGTGTATTTTGTGGATACCTACGTGTGATGCCTTATTTAGACAATGTAACTAATCCGAAATGCGAAGCGGTAATCCTGCCGACTGAAAACACGTTGTCCTACAAATCTCTTTAATTGCACCACTCCTGTAATGTCTCTTGAAATAATAAAAAAAGAAAAAAGAAAAAAAAAGAAAAAAGAAAAAAGAGAAGGAAAAGAAGAAAAGAGAAAAAAAAATATAAAGAAACGAAAGAGAAGCTCCCGGCGGCGTATATTTCTTTTCTCGCTATCCTCTATACGTTTGGGTGCTCACGAAACGAGAGGAGGATTACTTTCGTAGACGTTGAGAGAAAATATCGAGAAAACACGCGACCTGAAAAGCGTGTAGACGGTAGTTACACGTATATATTCCTTTAGGTAATATATACAAGAAAAGGTAACGTTGAGTCATCTTATCCTAATTCTTTTCCAACGAATTCGCGAACCGTTGTTGTTTATCCGTATCGACTATAAATATAAAACCAATTAATTTCAACGAACAATAGCGCGATGTGTGCGAATATTTTTATTTAACGAAATAAAACAATCAAAAAATGGTTAATTAATTAACGGTATTAACTTCGTTGTCCGAGTTGTTTAAAAATCCGAATAATTTTGAAATAATGAAAAGTAAAGAGATCGAAAGAATAATAAACTCCAGTTCTCGACATACCTATACACAGGGTGTCCTATATATTTCAAAGTTATAATATGAAAAATAATGTTATATATATATATGAACTTTTTTCATTTATTTGACCTTAGTAATACGTAGTATAAGTTTGGTCTCAACCTTTTTGGGGGATACTGTATATCAAATATAACGAGGGAACGTTATGCGAAGGATGAGAAGGAAAGAGAAAAAGATGGATGGAAAGAAAGACAGAAGGAAAGAAGGAAAGTAAGAGAAAGAGAGAAAGAGAGAGAAAGAGAGGAAAGGCTAAGCGTAGATGTACGATATAACGGTAAAAGAGAGCTGAACGTTTTATTAAGCCGGATACATAAAAACCACAGGCGGCCTCTACGGAGTGCACAAGGCTGCCTGGCTTGTGTACGGAAGAAGAGCTAG